AAATGTATTTTCTGATGCCTGAGCCCCTGAGCCGTCCTAGTCCCTGAGCCCTCCTGAGCCCGCCGCCGACCACCGGTCGCGCACGTGCGCGACATACCCCCCACCTCCCCCCAGCCAATACAGCCGTTACCCCGCGGACACATATAGCCGCCCTGGGAAAATAAGTTAAAACATTTTTTCACCGGACCGGGGATCGAACACGTATCCCCTCAGTTCGGCAAGCCGTCCCATATACCACTGCGCCACCCCACTACATATACTCYWATGTTAAAACTTGTCCTATTTAACTTGTAATAAAATACACTGAACGCATATCCTATTTACGTCATCACATTGCCGTCAATATTATACCCTTAACTTGTAATAAAATACAAGTCTCTGAGCCTTACCGGTTAGGTTAGGTAAGGTTAGGCTAGCTTAACCTTACCTAACCTAACCCCCCACCCCCACCAGAGCAAGATCGCGTACGTGTGCGATTACCGTTATCATGTTATCACTTATAATTATTACCGTTATCATGTTATCACTTATAATTATTACCGTTATCATGTTATCACTTATCATATATATCTGCACGAGATTTAAAAATATATTTATGTTAATAAAATACAAATTACCGTTATTATGTTATCATGTTACCACTTATCATATATATCCACACGAGATTTAAAAATATAAAATTAACTAGACGAGATTTAAAAATAAAAATATATTTATTTTAATAAAATTATAATATAAGTTTTAGTGTAATACACAATCATAGTATAAAATATAATATTTTCATATTAAAAAAATTAGTTTTCACCTTCGAGGTCTTCAAAGGCATCCATATGCAGGTTCAAGACCTCATCAGCCCCGTCATTGTACCACTTGTCCTCATTGGCTAACATATGATAGGCCAGGATATCATTGTAGCCATCCTCTGCCCAACTAGTTTCATTTTGGGATGTGTATAATATCCTCCCGAAAATGAGCAAGTCACTTTCAGGTACTATCTCTAACAAACTTGGTGACAATGGAGTAGATCGAAGCCATTCGTCTATCTG